ACGTGGTGCGAGGAACACCTGGAGCTGGGAGTCCTGGTGCCACAAGTGAAGAACACGGAGTGCACCATCATCACTCCAAGAGCTAGAACCATGCTGGAGAGGACCCTGAAGGATGCCATCTGCTGCCAATATGTGGAAAACCTGAAACGGAAGCCAGACCAGGGCAAGGCTTTTGAGGTGACATGCAAGTAGGACACCACTTCCTCCCCAGGGGCAGCTTCACCCGATTTGTTGACTGGAAGTTCATCGACCGGGCCCGGCTCAACTGCTTCCTGCTGAATGGAGCCATCCGCCACAGGAATCGGGACAAGCGATGCAGGAGATGCGGCTACACCAATGAGACACTACCCCACGTCCTGTGTAGCTGCAAGCCCCATTCCAGAGCCTGGCAGCCGCGACACAATGCCATCCATGATCGCCTGGCCAGAGCCATCCCACCACCTGTGGGGAAGGTTGCCATGAACTCCGCCATTCCTGGAACCAACAGCCAACTGCGACCGGACATAGTCATCACCAACAAAGACCGGAAGAAGATCAGCATGGTGGACTTCACAATGCCCTTCAAGAACAGGACCCCAGCCTTTCATGATGCCCGAGCTCAAAAGGTAGAGAAATATGGCCCTCTGGCCAGAACCTTGAGAGCTAAGGGTTACCAGGTCCAAAAACACATGCTGATCATCAGAGCCTTGGGCACATGGGACTCCAGTAACGAGCAAGTGGTGAGCTAATGCGGAATCTGTCAACTCTATGCTCAGCTGATGCGGCAACTCATGGTGTCAGATGCCATCAGGTGGTCAAGGGACATCTACATAGAACACATCACCGGACATCAGTAATACCAGGAGGGATGAGCTGGAGTGCCGATGAGAAGCACAGTCAGGAAAGTAACAAATACTTTCTTCGTGGATTGTACAGACACTCCCCATCTTACACAAGCATTCTGTTGCAGAAAGCCTTGTGTAAGTCAAATTTTGCATAAGTCGGGAACGTATCTCCGACAATTACGCAAAAAAAAAAGCTTACGGAAAAGCTTTTTCCGTAAGTGCGGATTTCTGTAAATCAGGTTTGCGTAATCCGGGGAGCATCTATATTTTCTAAATGGACAACCAACATAATTCTCAATTACTGAGAGACAATCCCCACTCATTGATATATTTTTGCTTTCCACAACCAAATCTCTGTACAACTTTTCATGAGTGATGTACCTGAGTATTCGGATTCTAATAGCTAAACTGTATTGTTAAATCTATTCACCTAAATTTGGGTGATTATTGCTGATTATGCATTATATGTATCTTGTGACTTTAAAAACAAACTTTATGTTTGTGGATAATTAAGCACTATACTCAGATGTACAGACACT